TGCCCGAGGCAAAGTTAATGACAACAATTATTAAATCATTATCCTATATATACAAGTATTACATTATAGATCTTTCTTTTTTTTCCACACAAAATGTAGAATACATCAGTTTGAGGAAGGAGCGAATTAGATATTTCTTTCTTCTACATAATATTAAGATAATCATTGAAATAACATTTCATTCGGTGCACGGTCGATTGTATAAAATTTGAAGTATAACTATAGTTAAAATCATTTGCTGCAGTCATAACAGCCAGGTGAGTTAACGGATGAAATTACCGAGAACTAAATACCACGAGACACACCCAGCTCGCAATTGTAGAAATTTCTCGGAATTCATTATCGTTTTAATAACACGTTTACGGACCTTCATACCCGACACGTGTTGTTAATTTTTCTGAAATGCTAATGATCTTAATTTAAAGCCTTGGACAACTGTAATTTTACATTACCGAGCTGCATAACCAATTGAAAAGATATTAAATATTATGTTAAAAATCGTCTCACCGGAAAGAATATAATATTTCCACGAACACTGCAGATAAAAAAAACTCCGACCATACTTGTCATTAAAACTCGCTTAATTAACGATAATTTAATGAAATATAAAATTTTAACTTGTTAAGGAAAATGTTTCTAAACAGATAAAAATAATTCTGCGAGATTCCTTGATAACTGAACAGAATAATTGAAGTTTAATTTTTTCCTAGTACATAGATCGTTTCTGGCTGACGCACTCATGCGTATCTTCGTGTGTTGGGGCGCGCTAAGCTAAAAGCACGACTACTAGCAGGTGGCTACGCCCGGTAGTATCTAGTACCTGAGGATAATGCGGGGAAGGCATGCTTAATATTAACAGGATGCTATAGAGACCGCGCGTGTTGTTCCTACGTAATTTCCTCCTAAACGTACTAAGGGATGCCCATGCATATTTCAGAACAGCAGATAGCACGAATGCGTATCCTTGTGCGAGCGTGTTGTATACAGGGTGCCCCGAGTTTTGCCGCATTTTCCACCACTTAGGCCTCCTTTCCCCCAATTTAAAGTTCTGTATACCTTAAAATATACGTCGTCATATTTTCTGGTTCACGAATTATTAAGAGATTTACAGAATTTTCCGAACTCAATTTAGATATAGCAAATACGACAGCAAAAATGTTATTTTATTTAGTGTCAAATAAGCAACATTAAATCTAAACTCAGGAACTTAATATAAGTTACAGAGATAATCGAGATATTGCCCAATATCTAAATTGCTAAATACAGAATGCAGGATGATTCGGTAAGAGAAAGTACGGATAATCTCGGCACACCCTGTAAATGTGCAATACCACGACGTAATTAGACGACGTCGATATTGCGAGTAGACGCTTTGCTAATCACCACGAACCGTCTGATATTGTCATTTATTCAGGCCGGAATCAGAATTCTGCATTCCATACCTTGTGTATTTACATGTCTCTCCTTGTCGCAAACGCAATTGTTTTGTTCGTGATAAGTGTTGACGGTTGACAACATGATGGTAATTGATTATTAGAATGCTTGAGCATTGCTGTATGTACGAAAAGATCGTTTTGGTTTAAACAAAGAGTCACCAAATCGAAACATTTCATGTGCAAAGTTCGATTAAGCCAATATAAAAAATTTATAACTCTAAATAAAAATATAATAATATAAAGAATCAATATACAAAATTTTAATGTCATATAAAATTTATTTAAAAAATTATTTATTATATGTGATATAAAATTTATTTAAAATTTATTTATTATTATATTAAATTAATTTAAATTACGCGCATTTATATATATGTATGCATGTTTCACGTGACTTTATGTAATTGATAAATACGGATAAAATTTTCAGTAGAATTTAATTATTACGGTACCTTTACCCTGAACTTCGAAATACTAAATACAGCGTTATTATGTATCATTATCTCTCTGAAAGCGTTTTACTGTAATGCATATAAATTCACATTAATTCCTATACAAGTAAAATCAGATATTAATTAATTGAGCGCCGCGAATTAGTATTAAAAACTGACCCGTTCGAATTACATTATTAATATACGATTCGCAAGACGAGTTCGCGAGAATCAGTCAGCGGAATACAGATTTTCACGTAAAACTCCAATATACGGAATAATGCACCTACGTACACTACTGCATGCCGCGGTTGCAGCTGCAGCCAGTCGTAAGGAAACTGGCACACGTGTTCCGCGATGTTTCTGGCGTGCGGACTTATTTCACTATTTTATTAGATTAAATATTCACGAGGAAACGCTAGAGCAACAACGGCGAGCCGTAGAAAAACGCAGTGAAATACGGCGGGGGCCTCCGGCTACGAGGGTGCGGCGTTATCGTGTAAGGAATACAGGTCATTGTTGCATCTTTAATACGTTGTACAAAAGCGGCGCATGAATAAGTTGAACTTCGTCGCTTCAACGTGAAACCACAGCAGCGCGCAGCGTGGCGTTTTTATCGCCGGCATTTCTCTTTCGAATGCATCACGCGCATCGACGAGTGCACCTTGACTGGAAGTTTTCTATACATATGCGGATAACCTTCGAATAACACAATACCTGAATTGCACGGAGTCTCAAATAGCACGGTAAAAAATTGTAACAACTTTACCTTTTAAATTTTTTTTTTTTAATAATTTCTTGGAACCAAATGTCCAATTTTATACAAATCTAGAATCGGTTTTCATAATAACATGCAATGTGATCTCCAAAATTGTATGAATTCTAAGTCTCGAATAACACAGTTTTCAGTAACATCGATTGTTTGCCTTACATTTAATGTTTTCGAACATTGAAGTTTGAATAGTTTCGAAATAGAACGCATATATCTTCCAACTGTATATTAGCTAATCACACGTTCGAATGAATGTGTCTTGTGACTTTTATGTAAAGCACGAGTTTTCTTGTAAGATTGAAATATTCATAATTTCACTATTTAAATTCATGATTTCCAGAATTTTTATACAAAGCAATATAATTTTAAAATAACCATAAATTTTGCATTAATTCTATAACTTTATAGTAGCATTTTCATAGTGATTATATAATCAAATTAATAAAACTTCCAAGTTCTCTATATAGAAGAATAAAAACAATTATTCCGCTTTATTGAATCTATTAATATTCATTTCTATATAATATAACGGAAGTATATATTAAAAATAAAAAATAGTAGTCATGCGGATTACTGCAGTAATCTTGATGGTTTTGATAATCTTAGAAAAAATATGGCGCTTACATCGAGATTTTTGTAATTTAGCCTTGTCTTGATTTAGTAAAATATTACACCGCTAACAACCTCTAATGAATGAAAACAAACGGCAGACACACATGCAATGCTTCACAGTTGACACGCATTTGCTATATAATAACACCCTACAAATTTTGTTATAAATGGTGCATGCGTGGCCGTCCGTATCGCAATAACAAAGTAACAAATGTTTCAATGAAAATTGACGTTCGTTACTTGGCTTAATATATCTGCGCACGTGACGACGTGTACTGCGCCGCCGAATACCGTATTGCGCGAAGTCATTTTTTTTCGCATTCGCGAAATTAACTTGACGCGATTTATTTGAAAGCGCAATTAATCTTATCAAATCTAACGCAAACAATTCACTACCATTTTGTGATGGAGATGCAAATTTGACTTGGTCTACGAAGTTTCCAATTTACTCGAATTATGCAAGACAGAAGAAATGAAAAAAAAAGAGTTGTTTACGAAACTCTGCATCTTCAAAGCTGTACTCATAAAAATCAAATTGTCATTAATTCGGCATTATTTGCGCAATGTGATCTTATATATGAGATTTCCTCATAAATAATTTTGTTTAATGATAAGAATCATCTCTGAAATGAAGGAGAATAAAATGGGGCAAAAAAGCAAATTATACGAAGCGAATTGTGCCGCTTTATTTACTGCTAGCATAATCATGATGATGGCCTACGTTAGTCATTAAGGAGTAAACATCTTATTAAGGGTTTCGTCCCGGCACGCTACGCTTCCGCCCTAAATTTAATGGCGGCGGAACGAAATGGCTTTTCAGGCCATTTCGCTAAAGCTCGTTATCTCGTTAACAATCGGTGCGCCTATTCCTGTATTTCGGGCTTTGTCAGAGCTGCATCTTATCACGATGCCACGAGAAGGAGATCAAGATATACTGCAGTAATTACTTCACAGATCTTGAATCCCTTAGATTAGAAAATTAGAGATTTTTATATGAGCTATGCACGCGCATTACCCGGAGAATATCGCAAGTCCATTTTTATATTTTATCTATGAAACTTCAATTCCCTAAACACATAAATCGTTTTATTTTCCGTAACAAATATTATTGTAATTTATGCTAAAAATTTATGCCACGATTGCTTTCAGATCCAGTTTGATAAATTTGCTTTTAAAATATTTTTCTGTATATATATATCTGGAACATACATAAAGTGCAGTCAATACTGTCGGACAGAGATATATCTCTTTTTCAGCCCTACGAATATGGCGGACATGCACATATAAAGTAACTCTCTGTATCCTAAAAAAAAGGGCAAAGATACATATCTCCCTCTTCTTAGATGTACGAGAGAGACAGATACATTTCTGTCGCAGCTACAAATTTCTCTTGTGTTTATAATGCATTAATATTACAATCATTCTCGTTATTTCCGACATTGATAAATTTCTGTGCGCCGTTCTAACGGGGTGATTTATCTTGGAATACACGTGGGCGGTTTGTGATTTTCGCGACGGCGCGCGGCGCGGCCTGCGTATCCGGGTGCATGGTGCAGAATAGCGCATGAATATCGCTTACGTCTTATTTCCGAAAGACCCAAGATTTGGTGCCGCGAAAGCAGGAATTGGGCGAGGTCGAATGATGCTAGGACGCGAAAGAAAGAGGCGCTTAAAAGGGGGCAGCCGCGAGATAATCAGAGAAAAAACGGGAAAGCAAGGGAGGGCCTGGTGAGAGAATGCAAGCCTCACCTGTACTTTCGCCACCACGTAGCTTCTGCTCGGGCCTCTCGACCCTCTCCTCACTCTGCTGAGGTGGTCTCTCTGTCCTTTTCGGATAGTAGGGGTTGTACGACGAGGGCCACACGGTGGTCAGCCTTTTTGCTGGCGGTGGCGTGCTCGGTCGTCCTGAAAATAGATTAGGACCTTTCTCATCTAACCCAGGCACTCTCCTGTTTGCTTCCTTTTTTTTACACCCGCCAATAATCCAGTACGTCTCCTCTCTTTCTCTTTTTTCCCCCGTGCTCCACGTTTCTGCGCTTGATTTTATCGCGTATGTGAAATATTATGCGCACTATTCTACACCATACAAGGCCGCAGCAGCAAAATTACGCGAGATGATAAAAATTCAACAGATACGGAAACGCGTGGACATATTCGGTATTGCATAGTGAACACATAGGGACACATGAATCAGCTTCAAACTTTAGACCGGCTTATAAGCTTATAAAAATCATTCTATTCATCTGTATCTATTCATATAACATATTTATTCTTAAATATATTGTGTTATTAAAATATATATACTCTTATATATACGTGATGTTAAATAATAAATATAAAAACTTTGAAAATAAGTATATAAATTGGAACTGAACTATTAATCTAACAATTATATTAATATTTAACTACAAAATTCTAATTAAATATTTCTTCTTTCTACTACACATTTATAATAGAATAAAGGAATAAGAGAACTTTTCTGTATTTGTAGTTGCCTTTATTTTTACTATATAGCAGCTACGTTCCAAGCTGCTCCGTCATTCCGAACAAGCGAAATATAATTTAGATAGATGTGACAGAAAGCATACGCGCGCGAGAATGTGGTGGGCGTAGGTTTGATGAATTCTACGAGCTTCTTTGAAATCGAGCCAAGTTCAACTTGTTGCGTTCGATGCCGACGGACGTTCCATTGAACAAAATGCCTTTTCACGAGAGAATCTTGCGGCGAAAAAAAAAAGAAGTCGTGAAAAGTGCCTGCAATACTCTACAAAGCGTCTACTTTGAATTTTAATCGGTTACCATTTAACCGCTAATTTTATTTGATCTAAATACACGCAATTCTTATGATTTTGAACAATAATTTATGTTTTTAAGTAGATCAACTTTTTTTTATTTTTAATGTTGACAATTATAATTATCTCGATAAGTTGCTATTTCTTAAGTGACTTTTAAGAAAATAAAGAAAGAACGATTGCTTCATCTACTTCATGGAGTAAAGTGAAATCCGTCGGAAAAATTACAATCTAATGACATATAACAATATAACATTGAGATATTTTTTAATTACATTTTTAAATATCAACATAATATTGTTAGAAGTAATAATTATTTGATTAACAGACATAATAATTATCTAATAATTACAAAGCGACCATTACAAATTAAGACAAGGCTTGTTAATTCATTTCGGTTATAATTAGTCTGCTAAATAAGTTCCTCAACAGCAGGATCGCATAATGTTTAACAAAGACTTCTTCCCACAAGACAATGCGTCTGCCACGTCTAATTCGATTATATTGTCAGCAATATAAGATTATACTCGGCGCGCCAGCGCCTTATCTTTGTAAATATGAAAGTGCATCCCGGGAGAGTCGCATCCTTCGCTAGTGGTAGATTGAAACTTTACTTACACGATAATCCTGTACAATGCGTATCAACCCGAAGTGTAATTCAACTTGATATTCGCCACGGGGCCTGTATACTTCTACTGCACGGAGACCCGTTCTCTGCGACTTAGGTAGCTAGATGCTTTGACGCTTATTTCGTTCCTCATAATCGTGAAGATTATTCAAACTATCATCATTCGCGGTCCCGCGTGTGTCGTTCGTCGATGTGATCTCGAAAACTATGTCGCGAAGTAATTCGAAGTATATGAATTATACCGATGCGACTCCAACTGTTCGAAAAACCGCTCGTTTTATCTTTAGGTTTTATCTGAAATTGTTACAGAAATATCAATTTTATATTTTTTTTTCTGAAATAATAATATAAACTATCGAATAAAAATTTTAAGTAGCAAAATTAAAGAGGAAATAATAATTAAATACCTTTGGTTTTACACTCGAAACTGTGGCAATTTTGGCTATGTAGTGATACAAAAAATTTTAGAACGTATAGCTAAAAAAATTTAATAGATATAGATACTAAAAAAAATATTTAAACGTACGGCGCGTACGACCGTTTCTTAATTAATTATTAACCGAGTCATGATCCCGTTATGATAACAATCAAGTAAATAGAAAATGTGGCAATATACAAGATCTTTGTGCCTAATAATATTTTTCGCGTGAATTTATGTACATATTTCGTTTCGCAATTAATTCTCTCGATTTCTTTTAATTAATTCTCTTGAGCTCTGCATCTGCCTATCTTAAATCGCTTGCACTCGACTGAGTTCTGCGTTCTACTGCTTGACGGTTAGACTGATAATGTACTCTCTCCATGTGCATTCCTATCTCTCTCTCTCTCTCTCTCTCCCTCTCTCTGTCTCCACCTTTTCCGACAGTTCTCTCCTTCTTTGTTCGTTAAGCCCCACAGTCTTTCTGGTTTGCAAATAAGCGACCCTTTAACCCACCCAGCCTCTAACTTGGGCACTAAAAAGTTTTCGAATAAAAGTTTAAATACGCCCCGGACAAACTTCGCCTCTCGCAGCTTCTCCGCGACCCCGTAACAATATGGCAGCTTCTGGGTCACCTGCTGCGAAAAACACGTGGACGCATCTTTATATTTACGCCTACGTACTGCCACGGCAAATAGGTACACTCGTTAACATTCTCTTTTCTACCGGCAAAATCACAACAGGGCTCGTATTTCATACGGCCTAGCCTCCTTTTGTTATCCTTTCGTGCGTCGCGGGCTTTCTTAGTAAGTTTCGAAATAACTCGTTGAAAATTTAAGAGTCTCTCGCGGCATCTCCTCCAAAGTGCCGCGGCGAGCGTCAAGAAGAATTTGTTTCGCGAGGACAGAAAACAGGCGAGAAAAAGAGAAAATAGGCAGAGGAAGGCGGGGAAACAGATTCGCGACAACGCAGTTGAGAAAAGTAAAATGGTATTATTAATAATTTTGATCCTCGATTTATCAAAGTCCCAGAGTTGCACATTTTTCTGTACCTTTTCGAGAAATGACATCACTCTCGAAGTACTTTTAAAAGAATCACATTCTTTTCAATAGAGAATCCTTTACGAAATGTAGTTTAAAGCGTAATTACTTGGCAGTTGCTTTACAACTCTTAGATAGATATTCTTTTTATTTATATTCTACCTATTTTGAGCTTAAAGATTTATACTGGAATAACAAAAAGTTTGTAACAAGGCTAGCTTTAATTAAGACTTTCACTTCGTAACATCGCTCAACAGAATTTGATCTGTAGTCTTAATGAACGAATCGAATCTGATAAACCAGATAAACGAATAAGTTTTTCATGACTTTTCCATGAATATAAAATCGAAAGAAAAGAATTTGAGACAGAATCTGTAAATAATTTCATTCTTTTCAATTAAATATACACCTAAATAAGATATCCATATATAAGACAGATTTTATAAAGATTTATGTTTAAAAACTTGACAAAAAATATTTTATCAAAATATAAAAATAAAATGTTCTAAGTAATATAAGTATATTAATTATTAATTGAAACGTTCAAGAATGTGAGATAATTTCATAAGTCATACTTTAAATCGTACTTAATCATAAGATATATTCATAAATTATGAACTTATCACGTTTTTTCTGTTTAATGATAATCATTATTTCAAGTGTTTTATCATTAAAGAGAACAAAAGTGAAAAATTTATATGATACGTTTTAGATATAATTTTACATCTTATGTCTGTGCCATTAAATTCTCATGCGATATAAATGCACATTTATATATGACATTTACATATAGAAATAATATTCACATTTGTTTTGCACCGTCTTATTTAATACACTTTGTGCTGCAATAATCTAAAAGTAGAATTTCTTCTCCTGCTTGTTACTAATTATTTCTGGATATGCTATGCCAACATTTTTAGTCCATGTAATAATTGATCGTATTTTTCGCGCGATAGTCTTTTCATATCAGATATTGCATATCAGATGCGACGTAGCGTACAGTCTAATTCCAGAAATAATTTTAGCCTCCTTTAATTAATTACGATCGACGGAATCAATAGATGTCTTGTAACGCAACTGACATGTAGGAATTATTGAACGTCGTATGTATTCTCGATGAACTAACGCCAATGTTTTTTGTTACGAGACTCAATTAATCTGAGAGCAAGAGATAAGGTAATTTAGTAACATTTGACATTCAAACAAGGTTACTTCATCATGATGCAGACGTATCATTATTAATTTACATTAAAGTCAAGGTTTTAACGAAAATTAAAAGGAAAACTTTTCTTTTTACTTATTTCCAGTATACAAAGAGAAGATGTAGATTACAACGCTCAGCATTAAATTTGACAAAAATTTTCAGTAATATTTTTTTTTATTAAATTGCCGCGATATTTTAATTCGCTTTCTTTAAAACACAAAAGTATATTCACGCATATATTTAAATTATGTTAAAAAAATTATAAAATTGAAAATTATAACAAATTGTGCCGTGATCTCGATACATATATAAATATCATTATTTAATTGTTTAATGTAATCAGAAAACGGAATATGTTAAAAATGATGATACTCGTTAACAAAAATGTTTTCCATTGGAGACTGCGATTCGGGTCGCAAATGAAAATTGTGTACCTAACAGACCGTTCAAATGCTTTTTGGGAAATTAGATTCCTAGTATAATTTCGCAATCTCCTCTTTTTTGAGAACGGCACTCCTATCTAGTAAGTATCTAGATCGTGCCACCGCCAACAATGCAATCTCAGTCTGTGCTGTGTGCATACTGTGCATCCCTGCACCTAGTATCTCGCAGCGACGTCAGTAATTGAATTTTAAATGCGCTTAATTAGGTCACTGGTTAAGCCACCGATGTAATAACGCAATATAAAATTAAAATCTGCATTCTCTGATTTGAACAAACTAGAAGGGTAAATCTTGATTTATGCCACGCGCCGCGAACGTAATGAAAATCTTGACATAGATCAACATCATTTTTCATAATATCAAATTAGTTGTGTACGCCGTTTGATTTACTGGAAAATGTGATAAACGATTATACATGTTTTACACTTTTCGTAAAGAATTCATTGAGATTCCTTTAATATTTTCACTCCTCCCTTGTACTTCGTCTTTCATGCAAAATTACTTTTTCGCTGGATCGAATATTCTCCTCATCGCCTTCTCCCATCTCGGATGACTTTTGATATGTCGTCGCGTGCATCCTGCATTTCGAATCGCAGATCGTTCCGTAAATGGCGTAATCTTATCTGGGCAGATAAGACGAACGGCAGTCCCATTGGAAACTGCTAGGCATTTAACGTCGTGTTCGTGAGTTATTGCATACCTCGACTAGGTCATTAATAACCCGGTAGTATTAAGATTGATTCGGAGACACGAGAGAGAGAGAGAGAGAGAGAGAGAGAGAGAGAGAGAGAGAGAGAGAGAGAGAGAGAGAGAAACGCGACGCGTCCCTTGCCGATTTCGCCAAAGTTTCTCGTAATATTTAATCAGTAGTCGAGGCCATACATTATGATGAAGGCGTTGTCTCGTCTCGCTCGTGAAGTATATGCATCTACGGCTGAGTCGTTAATACGATAAATTGCATTAGCCGAGGGAGGAAAATGGGAAACTTCGGAGTTACGACGACGCCTTCTACTCGCGCGGTGAGACATCTCCATCGAAAGAACGTTTTCGATTACCATTATTTGCACGTACGATCGCGCCGGTTCGCCTCGGTTCGCAAAGAAATCGCGCGTCGGACTTACGCCTCCGACGCTCGTAAATCTCGGTTACGATCTTCCAGCTTTTACGATCGTCGGGTCGCGAGAAAATTCAACCGTGGCGACATCAATATCGGGAGCGAAGCAACACTTCCGCGCTTCCTGCGCGAAAATTCGCGAATAACAGTTATTCATTAGAACGGTCAGTTTCTCCCCCTAGGCGCTTCGAAATAATGATAATCCACCTACCTAGCGGCCGGCGGTGCCGGTACGGTAAAATTGCGAAGCTTAATGGCGGTAATACCGTCGTGGCCGAGCCTTGTATGGCGTTAATAATGCAGTATATTGAGATTGGTTTCGCGAAGCTGAGGAGGGGGAGGGCTCGGAGAACACCGAGGCAGCCAGAACCACAGGGACCTGACCTAGGCATCTGCCCAAGTTATTCGCCCCGCTTTAATAATACATGGACGCGCCAATGCGCGGACTCTGGGAGCCTAATATAAAGACTAACTCCGCAAACATTGTACTTTATTCGGACGATGCGAAACACCCGAGCAATTTCCCCTCGAAAAACATCCCCTCTCACTTGACTAAAGTCCCTTATTTGTTCGTGCTCGGTTAAATAATTTTTTAGAAATTTTGGAAAATGTTGCGAACACTTTGAAGTTCTCTCGACGCTGTCGATGTCGAGGCTCAAAGATACAAATTATTATTTACCCGCAAAAGACGAGTGATATATTGCCTTAATTTAGATTGTCCCTTTCGCACTTTGTCCCCCTAATTTAACATTATTTTCTTTCTTCGAGTGAGACGCACCCCTACGGCACCGCTTTTCCGTTCGCGATTGAATACGGTGAAGAAAGTGAGAAAGCACTTTGAGATTCTACGATTTGGGAATAAAATGTAGATAATGAGTTTGCCTTCGCGTGGAAATTGTTAGAAGATCGTCCGCCCGCAATATCGATTTTCGAGTCGTCGAAATGCATATATTCAATAAGATTCTCACCTTCATTGTTGGCGCTGCTCTTGATCTCCGTCGCCTTCGGTGCCGCCGATGGCTTCGGAATAGCTGAAATAAAAATCGTTCGTCTTTAATGACGTCGTATAACTTCTTAAATATCGGCCAATAAATTTAACTCGAACTCCGCCGCCTTATTCATATTTTAACCGGGGGTCATCTTATCTTCGAGCGGCGGGAATTGCACGGAAGAGGGAGGACACGCGGGGAGGGATATAAAGGCGAGGATGGCGCGAGACATTTCCTCTCTCGGCGATTTAACCCGTGCCGATTTACTGCTAACATCCGCCCGGCTTTAAATAAATCTTCGACTCGGGCGAAATTAAACAAAGGCTCGAGAATTCGCGATTTATGGAAGTCGTTTCACTTTTAAATTATTCACGTCGCGAAACCACGTCCGCGCCGCGCTATAATATCCCGTATAGCAAACACACCGCGGCGCGGCGTGGCGGGTAGATGCATAACGATAGCGGTCAGAAAAAAAATTGTTTGTCCGGGCACGAACGGGGGCTAGAAAGTGCACGTCAGCTTACGGTATAATCTGATGGATCCCTCCGTCTCGCCCAGCGAGTTTTTGCTAATGCACCGGTAGCTACCGAAGTCACTCGCTGTCAGGTTTCTGATGGTGAGTCTCATGTGCGCGCGGTAGCTGTTCTCCATGATATTCGTGGTGTACTTCTCGTTGGAGAGAATCATCTCGTCTCCCAGAAACCAGTAGCTCATGGCACGGGGATAAGCTTCTGTGTGACAGTCGATCGTTACGTTGGTGCCAGTTGGCGCACCGACAAGCTGATTCGGCACGAAGATCATTGGAGAAACTGGAACGTTAAAGAGAGATTTATTACACCCTGTCTCTTAGTTTTATTTATCGTTACATAATTTTAAATCGATTTTCTGTATTACAGTTCAGTGAGCGTGTTAAAATGTATACAAAAAAGATTGCTCGTTAAAATAGAATTTTAATCGATTTTAATCGTGGAGAAAATATGAACTATTATTTGTAGAAACAGAAGTAATAAACTGTATGCGAGTAACACGTAACTTTATAACAAGACGCAAGTTCTTTCGACGAACGTAATATAAAAAATTTTGCGATTTTATATGCTATTACATATGTACACAAAATATATTTTTAATAGAAAAATCGCGTATTAAAGCGTTTACATACGGTAAACGCTTAATTATCCATTATGTAGAATTGCTACGCGATAAAATTAAAGACCGCGCTGCGATGTAACATTGAGTTTTCCCGTAATGCCAGACACAACGTGACGGATCAAGTTTGTATTTTCCGGGATGGCGTTCCGCAAAATGCGCCACGGTCGGGAAACGAGTTGGGAACAAAGTCTATTATGGTTACAAGTCTAACGCCGGCGTTAAGGTTACGCAATGAAGAGTTAAGGCCGCACGAGACGACGTCGCTCTGCGCGATGTCGCAACGGTTCCGTCTTTATACCCTTCGTATTCCTCGTCCGGGCGGAGCGCGCCCGCGCGCCCCATTCCGGACGAACAATTTTCTAACTCAGCAACTAAACCAGAAACGGCTCCTTCTTCGTTTCGAATTAATCCAACGTCGGATGCGCGCTCGTATACGCCGCCGACGTTGGTGGCAGGCGTGCGCTTTGGTAACGGGTTAAATTAAAGTTGCAAACTCCGCCAGCGAGTTGTATGATACAATAAAGGAATAATAATGCGTTCATAGACGGGCGCCGGGTGTAAAACGACACCAGGTGCCGAGAGCTCGTTATATCTAACGAAGAGAATCATATTCAATGTGTTCCGGATTGATCCGATGATATCGTGATCCGTTTTTTCGATGCTTTCTTCGTCCGCCTTGGTCGACTGCAGCGACTTTTATTGGAGAAGAAAAAAAAATTGTCATCGATCGAAGCCTGTTCAATATTATCTGTTCAATGCACGAGATAATAAATGAGATAATGTAGATAATAAATTTAATAAATGCCTCTAATGAAACGAGATTCTCTCAATTAAGCCTTCCTAGCTCGCCACACTTTCCATCTGTGGACAACGCTGGGCAGAGATATATAGAAGCGCAACACACAGTTGTCTGAATACGGCAGATATAAACGTAATCGATGGTAGGAAATACGTAGAAGTGTGCATTAATTAAAGTCAATGGTGGCAATTTGTGGATTTGTGGTAAGCCGGAATGCAACGCCGCGAACTACGCTGATGTACAGGCATGGTCAGGTGATCATGACTCTACGAATGTGCATCGTTCATCGTGCATATCATCCCTCGTCATCCTGACCGGCGTTTTTTGTCATTATCAATTAGATGAAGAAAGGCATTGTATATTTCAGGTTTTGCGCGAAGAACACAAACACGCGTCTGTACCTTTATTAAAGATTAAATCTAATATACAATAAAATTTTTATGTGCAAACTAACTCAGCATTAAAATTGAGAGAAAAATTATAAAATCCGGTTTGAGAGAAAGAAAAGACTATGCGATTGTATTTTATGTCATAACGTGACATATAAGCTTTAATTCAATAGTCAAATATATATTTTTTATTGTAGACATTCTGAAGTATCTTTGTCGAAACTTGTTTAAAAATTAATGTCATTTCTATGCATTTTCAATCGAGACTTATTGCTCATAATTCATTACGATGATCAAAGTATTTTCGAAAATTAAATTATAATATTAAATATTTCTCTCGAACCTTTAACCTTATTGACAAGCGTAAAATTGTACATATAGCTTTACATCTCGCTTTACATAGTCCGTGGCCATTTATTATAGCCGTGTACTTCCTCTGTACTTCGAATGCATGCAACTTTAATAATCGATGTAAATAGCGCGCCGTCAATTACACGCTCTTATCGCGAAATCCCGTCGTGACTCAGCAGCATCGTACTCATAATTACACGGCCAATTGAAAAAGAAAGGATATCATGTTCTCATTGCAGTAGCGGGAGATGGTCCCGGCTCGCTTATCACGCTCGCGCACCAGCGGGAACAGCCGCGTGAATTGTCGCGTGTATACCCAGGCAGCAACGTAGGCAGAGTGAAAACGTAGGAAGTAAAAAAATCAACTCGCTAAATCGTGCATGTCTCATCAACATGCCTGATGAAGTAGGTTACTACTTGCAGAGATGGCACACGGAAGCTCCGGCGCGGCGCCCGGCGACGGCGGCGTGCATGCCAACCGAATTATGTCCCCGTATCCGCGTCGCGTTTTCCTCCACCCCCTCGCTCGCTATGCTTTATGCAGCGGCACAATTTTGCCCACGTTACAAGGTACACGGGCATGCTGAAAACGCGACATACGAGCCGTGTACTACACAACTGTCCGATTGTCAGCGAGAGTTCAGAAAGATCGTTGTGTGTCAACACGATGTCTTTTGTCGCTAAAATGAATATACAGGCCTGGAACGCGGTCGAGTTCAGCTTCAACTCTTCAACGAGAACTTGGAATCAATCTTTTAACATGTCGTTTATTTAGCTCGGGTTATTCCATAACACGGGATAACCCGAGCTAAATAAACGATTACAGATAGGAGAGCAATTCGCGAAATGAGTTCGAGTGGGAATTATTTTATTGTCTCACGCGGATTTCATTTCTGCATTGATTGTGTAATCGGACTAATGAACTGCAGTATAATAATTCGTATTATATATGTTAAAGCATGAATAATACTCAACGTATAAATTCCGTTTGTTATCTCTCGTTCATTACGCCGCTATTTATTTTATTTCATAATGGGCCAACATAGAAGACTGGGTAAGTAGTATTTATTGTTCGATTGGTTGGAATTTACGCAAGGTTTCCATCGAAGTACAACGGAGTGTTGCAGCAAATAGTTGTTAGACTATTCCGGAAGAGAACCTTGACGTCTTACATTGATGGAGCATTCTTTCCATTTTCTTCCTCTTTTTCTTACACAAATTATCTGTTTCTCAAAGTCTATGCATTCTTCTCGCGTTAAAAGAGATAAATACAAAATTAAGGTACGTAATTCGTTGCATCTGCAATAATCTTTTAATATTCAATTTTAATTGTAATTCTATAAGAAGAATAAAATCATGAATTGTTTAATATAACTATAAACGAACAAGAACAGAAATAGGCAAATGTAAAAGAACACCGTATGAGAATAAGTAATAAGCATACAACACTCCCTGTTTTAAAACTTAAGTAAAATCATAAATATTCATGTCGTATTTTTCATATAAATTATTATTGCCTCGTTTAATCGTACAAAATACACGCAGATTTGTTTATTAGCTATAAATTGCAAACACGCATAATAATTGTAAATTAAAAAATGAGTCGCGCGTGTGTAAGTTATAAGATTGTTTTTCAAAGAAAGAAAAAAGTTTAAGCCAAAGCAGCAGCACCGGCACAACTAATGCAATGCGAAACAATATGTCACCTAGCGTGTACCGTGTGTGGCAGTTAAAAAATTAATATACCATCATAGATTACTATCATTTTGCGGGTATATGCATACTATGTACAACGCTGACTAAGGTGGCGACAAAAAACCGTAACGTTGGTGCGCCATCGATCGTCCGGGGGTACACAAAGGAGAAAGCGAAAGAATTATGCCGTCAATCAGACAATCGCGTTGGAGAATTTTCCCACGACTCGCTCGTGTCATTACGTACGTTCAACTTTTCATAAGGCGGTGCCCCGCAAATCCCTACACGCGTACATTATACGTGTGACGCGCATCGCGAGGGGGACGCGCGCTATTCAGAGTGCACGTAGACGATCTCTGAAGCGTTCCGCTGCGACCCGGAACGCGCCGCATCCGCGCGCGGAAAACCGATGTTTTATCCCGCTCGTCTAAATAAAATATGTCCCCCGCCTCCTAAATATTCAAGAGATACCGCCCGGCCTCTGCGCCGTACGTATAACGTATACCGTTCCTTCTTCCCTCAACAACGATGCAGGCCCGCCCGCGCGCACGCACACCGACGTGCAGCAGCACGTGGATGCAGGCATACGAAGTGACACGAACGAATGAAACGCATAAAAGGGAAAAATGACCAGGGCCGACGGGACGGCTTGCGCGCGGCTTCCAGTATTTCCCCCGGGCTTTCCCGGCGGCGTTTTTCCCCTCTCCGACGCCCCCTCCCCGCGGATCCCCGCGAATGCTACCCTCCCGTGCCTCCTGTTGTCTGGTATACTGCACGTATTTGGCGCGGAGCACGTGCGCCGCTGCACAGCAACGTGTGCACGCGCACGTGTGCTCATGTTGTGCAATTCGTGAAATGAAATTTAAACAATACACGACCGACCCGCCGCGCCGCGCCGCGCGCCGTCGGATCGGAGATCGTACATAACAACGCGTTTAAAATTTATTCGATAAATCGTTGCTGGATATGTTCCAGCCAACCCTCGGCAGAGAACCCCTAATTTTCGCGTCGCCGCCTTGAGAAAGCTCGCGCCACGCTCGCGCTGGTATTTGCGATATTTTACACGTGAACAAGCTGGAAAATTAGGATACTTCATGAACATTTGGAGTTCACAATTGCAGCAGTTTGCCGCATCCAATTAACATAATTTATTACAGTAATTAAGTTCCTGCAACACTTGCAACATACCGTGTTCTACATTTTACGATATCGCCATCGCGTAACATCTTTTCAATTTTGTGTATTGTTGCATATAATCTTAACGTAAATTATATTACTATTTGTCAGCAACACATCGACGCCACTCTAATAGTTGCGTCATCAAATTTTAGTTTCAATTGGCAAATTATATTATTGCAAGACCTCACGCGCAATTTGACTAAACCCTTGAATTAAATATCCACGTCGTTAAGCGTTTATTGCGAACATCTAGCATGTAACGTTGTAAAATTATAATTATCGCATCACATCGTACCCCTCGATCGCTGACTGCATGCCATTCATCATGAATATGTATATACATATCTCACATTTGTTACGTACAAACGCAGTAATAATGTGCGGTATGCTTGCAACAAACTCACATTCGACATCCACGGTGATCCTCTTGCTGACCGTTGGCGGCACACCATTGGTCGCGATGCAGAGATAAGCGCCCATTTCGCTGCGTGTAATCCTCGTCAAGTTTAATTGCTCACCATCATACAGGGTCACTGAAACCAGAAGCGAGAATTGATTCAGCTTGGTCGAGGGCGCAAATATAGTTTACGGAAACGGGTAGGTATATGCCCTTCGCGTAAGCAACGTTTCATCCTTGTTATCTCGTGAGCGAAACGAGGAAGACAGTTATGCAAATAGTTTGGTTTGAAATTTAGCAACTCACAGCTTTGCGCGATGCACGGACAGCTCTTAACGTTTAGAGTTGAAATTTAACACGCGAAGATGAAATGCCTCGCGACAAATCGAGTATCAATGTTTAAGTTAACGACGTAACTGCTAAAAACTCACGTATTACGATTACGTAATGTAGTTGATTGCTCCAGTAAGGGATTTACGCTATAATAAGGTAATAAAGCAGTATAAAAGTTACAAGAAATCAGAATACGTTTTTGCCGCGTGATTTATGCCTTTGAATATACTTATGTTAGTCTATTATAAAAGTTTGCAGCGAGATTTATATTTTACAAGTAAGATTGTGGTAAAATTATATGAGAGTCACGAAACCGAAGAAATGCGGAGATTAAGTTAATACTAGGAGTTTCGCTCATTTTCGTCAAACTTATTCGGTTGCGTTAGGACTTTTCTTCCATTAAATTCTTTTTTCGTTAGACCGAGTTCGTGCAAAATCGCCATATGACTGTCGCAAATAGCTCACGGCTACACAAGTATTAGGACCCGACTCGCGTGATCAGGATTTTCGATGTCATTATCGGTGAAGATGTATGTATTGGCTTCTCGTGTCTATGTTACATCAAACGACGATTTACGAGGAAACTTCCGCTGGCTCTTTATTACGGGGGAAACAACTGGTAGAGGAGTTAATAGAGGACAGAGAAGAGAAGAAGCAAAACGATCGGCACTCCGTGACAAGAAATAGACGGTATGAAGCTACCGTTATTACCGTTATAGGACAAAAAATGAATCGTTTGCATCTCGAGAAATGCTAATAAAAGCAATTTACTTCGATATTACTGCGCTAGAAGTGCCACAAACAAAAATTTTTTATGTAAAATTTTTAATATGCGATACGTTTTTATAATAATAATAATTTTAAAAAATCAAAACAAAACGAGCGAGTTTTGCAGCTTGTAAATAAAAATTATAATAATGATCATATTTCATCTTCGCGCGACAAAAATTTGTTAAATTGACGCAATCGGTAAATCCGAGATTAGTAATGATATTCTGTCAACATAGGTGCTAATAGGTAAACTCTGAAATGATTTATGATATAAGTTTCATTCGAATCTCTAACCATATTACGTAATAAAATACACGTAGTCCGTGTGGATGGTATCCAAGGAGGATTGCCTTTGGTAATAAATTACTGGCCGATAATGCAATTGATGAGAGAACGAAATTCGATAGACTAAGAAAGAAATTCCTCTCCGACGGGAATCCGATAGAAAGAAGAAGAATTCCTTCTGCTTGTTTAGACATGATATTTACTTCTTTGTATAACGTGATACGTCCTGTAGATAAAACTCAAACCCAATACGCTTTCACTTTTCAAAAATTAGCAACGATAATTAAACTTTCTACGATCCACATGACATTTCAAATCATATCATTGATATAAATAATCATGCTAAAAGTATCTTTCCTCTATGAATGCCTATACTTAATCGCGAGCTTCGGATTATCGCAAAAGCAAAATCAACGTCAATCGTACATGCTTAGCGCATCTTCGTGACAATTAATGAAACGAACGTGAGCCATAAGAATGGATTCGAATCACCTGAATCGGCGGTAGCGATACACCTTCCTCGGAGGGGTGGCGTTCATAAATCTTTACCCCGGTTTACTTCGGCTTTGCTTGTCTCCTAGTCGCGATTAACCGACCCCCGACCATTAGAGCGGGCGGCGATGTTTCTTTCACGAGACACATGCCCTGCCAGCTCTACCTTGCCTCGTGCTGCATTCACTGTAGGTCGGACGCAACGTGCAACGTCGATTGGCAAGGCAAGGTACAACCGATCGATCGACGCAAATAATTGAGAGAGAACGCTCGAAATCCGCGCTTGGAAAACGGCGCGGCGCGGGCGGGGCGGCGGCGGCGGCGTGGAGTCTCGTGGATACCAAAAGTGACGTGATAACACCCGTCCGATAAACCGCCGTTGTTGCGCCGTGAGGGAAACGATCGCCGTCAAATGGTCGGATATCCGTGCGCGCGTAAAAGCGTAAAAAAATATTTACGAAGGATGTAAAAACATATTTCTTCGACGAGAGCGAGCGCGAGCTCGATTTTCTCGCTGCTATCACGGCGACCGTAACCGGTGAATCCCCATTGCGCACTTCGCTTTCGTTTAATCGCTTCAATTAATACGACGCCTGACCCCGCTGCTGTCGAGATGCGCGTCAGAATTCGACATTTAATCGGATACGAGAAGATAAAACTGGCTAGATAGAAATAATAATATTCGTACGATTTAATTTAGGAAAAAATTCATAAATTTGATATTGTTTCTCTCAAACGTATAGCGTTTAGCTCCAATTCAGCCGAGGAATTTTTCACGGAATAATTTTTTTTTTTTTGTGTTCTGGATTTTAATCAATGCATTTAATCAATGGATTTAATCAATCGAAATAATTTTGCTTTTACACCTATGCACCAACGCATTTTAATCATGTTAAATAATTGGATACGTTCATTGTTGAAGATTACCCTCGAATTATTCTGCAAATTCGGGAAAAACAATTATATGCGAAAAAATTTCCGAATATAAAATATATACGATATACCGCGCACATGTAAAAAAAACCCGAGTAACATATATTTTACGCTTATTTATTGATACAATTGAACTGTTGCAGCGCTCGAGGTAAAAATCTGAAACGAAGAACAATAATAAATTCTAAAACCGCAAAAAAAATTAGAAGGGTGGCGAGGGAAGAAGTCATCAAATGCCGATGACGATTCTGTAGTTCACCAAATGCAGAGTCTAGAATAAAACATTAATCGATTGATACGCCTCAAGCAAGCCTCTTTTAGATCCCTCGGATGCAATATGTCGGATAAAATATTTGCAATGAGTTTTTGATCGTGGTGGCACACCGGTCCTTTCGATACAAGTTCATTTCGCCATCAACTCATCCGATATTAATGTATTCCGCCGTTCTTCGACGAGTCCGGGAATATTTAGATAGCGGGTAGCTCAAAGCCCGAATGCAAATCGATACATCGGATTGAGCAAACACTGATAGTTATTTTTAAGGACGATTCGCAATGAAACTTTCACTCGGCCGTATAAAAGCTCGCCTACAGAGACGGAGTGGCATCGTATGCGAGAGATATATAAATATGTGGACTCTTGCCGATTTTAATTATAAGAGGATATCTGAAAAATATTTTTTGCAGCGCGCAAGGTTCGACGAAAACTGAAATCTGTCGAAATTGTCGAGCTTTGTGGAATAATATACGCCAATGTGTATGACAAAACTGTCAAAGGAATTAATAATACATGATAAAAGTGGACGCGCGGACAGCAAAAGAATGCTTTGAATATTCGAATGCACGGCTGATTGTACATACATAAAATATAATGGACATTCATGCAGCCCATGATGATAAAGTTGAAAATATGATATTGTCGATAAATCATTCATTTAAATGTACTTTGTTACAAAACTAATAGGTTAAGAGAAGAAACCGGCAAAAATTGTTAAAGTAAGATAAATATGCATCTCTAAGACCGCTCCATACGTACTTTTTGTTCGTCACTTCTCTACGTATAGGTATTTTAGAATCTCTCATGATACAACATCAGAATATTAAGGACATAAATATTCATGGTGTACTAGATTAGTTCTATAATTATGGCAATTTCTGAAGCTGATTTTAACATGTATACAGATATATGTATGTGTTGCTGCTAAAGAGAAGAGTATTTTATTTTATTTCTATATATATTTTCACTCTATTTGTAATATTTGCTACTATTAAAGATCCCGATTGACAAAAAAATTATGAAAAGTTAATTATTCTAATTAATGTACCTATGTTCCGAACAGGTATATTAAGCTATCAAAGCCAAATTATCAGAACACAAAAAATAGCAAATAATTAGCAAATTAATTCTATATACAATTTTTTGTTTTCCGATAATTTGGTTTAAATAGCTTAATATACCTGTTCCAAACATCGATATCACATTTACACATGTAGAAATGTAATTTTATTTTCAATGCAACGAGATTACACTTGCAAGTTGCATTTATCCACATTTGCATTCTCTTCGGTAATCGGCTCATAAGTCAGCCTTAACATGTCCATTCATCGCGATTTATCTTTATTCAACATCTTTCCATTCCACAGTTCGCCCCTTGACGCTCAACCATCGACCGCGGCCAACTAACGTTTCTCTTGGCCGCGGTGCAGCGCGAAATACCGGAAGCGGTCGCGCGGGAAACGACGATATGACACGTATTAATAAAACGACGAAACTAATCCGTGAAATTTTACCACGTCACTATACCAGCGATGACGCGCGGGCACGCAAAGGGTATTAAATAATATTACGAACTATACCGGAGCTCTGGATACGTATGCACATGCATGCATATGTACCTACCCTGCCGAAAACTTGGAGGATAGTGCGGGCGCGCGAGCGCGGTCCCGGTGCTCCGTCATGAATTTGTATGAAGCTTTAGAGGGGCTCAGATGCCCCGGAGCGCGGCTTTGCAGATGTTTGAACAGAAATTCCGGCCTTTTACGATCCTATGCGGTGCGGCGGTGCGGCGGTGCGAGCGGTGCGAGCGGAACGACAGACATGGGCACGGGAAAAGGTGAGAAGGCGGACCCTGCGGAGGGTGAAAGGTACAGATAGAAGGGATATGAAAGGCTCTCAAGTGGCCAGGCCAGACGAAGACGACGGGTCGTGATGAAACTGTGTGTAACGAAATAGTCAGACGAGAAAATTGCGCCGGATACCGGGATTATAAAATAGGCCGTACTCCTCGACGCACATTTGCGTTGATGTGTGCGGACTTTGAA